CCTCACCTCCAAGGCAGATGGGGTCTCAGAGTGGGCCCCACTATCCTGAGTGGGTGCAGCTCTCCTCCCCTGCCTTGCCTGGGCCCCCCGCAGGGCTGCCCGCTGAGCATCTGGGAGCCCCAGAGGGCGTAGATCCTGGCAGTCCCGGGGGAGCAGATCTGAACTGGCCACACCTTCCCTGATCCTCTGTTCCCCGGACCCACTCACCTGGAGAACCTGGGAGCTGGAGGGGTGGGGTAGTAGTTTAGCAGACCCTTGGACCAGGGGAAGGGATGGGAACCGCCATGTCTTGAGTATTCCTTTGTGCCGTGTTGTGCCCAAGGCCACGTGTCTCTGGTAAAGCCGGTTGCTTGATCTCCATGAGGCTTGGTGTGCTAGCCTGCAAAATGGGCCGTAATACCTCACTCCTAGAGTTCTTCCAGGGATCCCATGGGATGAGGCCTGTTGAGAGTTCAGATCAGTGCCTGGCCCATAAAGGCATTTTCTGGCCCAGTGCTGCCATCTTTTCTGGAGTATCCCAGCAGGGCAGTAAGACAGGTCAAAAAATCCAGGGAGGGAGGTGCTGAGCACAGCTGGGCTTGTAGTGTGTGCAAAGGGCCTGTGGCCACTCACTGGCTGGGAGCCAGGAACCCTATAATAGCCTTTATTTTCCCTGGGCCTCTGCTGGGAGTTCCTCTGCTTCCATTTATGTGAACTCCTTCCACCCCAGCGCATCCCATGAGAGAAACTCTAGCCCTGCGCAAGGAAGCCCAGAGAGGTGCTCGGGGAGGGACCAAATCAGTGACAAGCCTTCAGGTATCCTGACCCCCAGCAGGTGATGAGAGGGTGCAAGACAGCCCCCACAGAGTGTGCAGGATTGAGGGTGTCACTGAGATGACCCAGGTAGAGCACCTAGTAGATCATAAGCATTCATGGATGGAGAAGAGACAGCGGGTCCCTGGGCATGGGGCTAATGTCAAGCTGCTCTCAAGATGAGGCTTTGTGCTTCCCTTGCTCCATTTGGACACTTTTGATAAGTAAGGACTCATTAGCCCCACTTTGCAGATGGGAAGACTGAGGCTCTGAAAGGTTAAACACCTGATCTAAGATTGCCACAGCTGGTTGAAAGTAAAGTCACTGACTGGGACTCAGACCCACTGCTCATTCCTGTGAACTCTTCCTCTAGATAGGGTGGGGGGCTGTTGCCTGGAGACACTGCCTGGAGGAACCTGCCCAGTTCTCCCAGACCCAGGTGAGGTGTGACCCTCAGCCTGCTGGCCAGGAGGACAGAGTGGAATGGCAATTTTTCCTGCAGGCATTGCCCAGCAGCCCCCAAAGAGCAAGCTCCTCCCTCTCCTGGCTGGGCTGGGATGCCCATTCCAGCACTAGGTGGCTAGGATGGGGCAGCTGCTGAGGAGTGTCCCATTGGGGCAGGCACAGGGACAGCACAGCAAGGCCTGTAGTGGGGCACAGAATTTACTATGAAGTGTTGGGGTGGAGGTACTCTTGTGCACCACTAAGCTGAACATGGATTCAGCACATGGAGAGAAAGATGGGCAGTTTTCACTTTTAGGGGGCTCCCAATCTGTGGGGGGACACAGAACTCCTTACCCCAGTGGATGCCTAGTCTGATGGGGGAGACACAACCATCTGTTCCCAGAGAGCCCTGTGCATGAGGGAGAATACTCTACCCTGTCCTGGGGGAGCCCCAAGACCAATGTGGGGGACAGAAAAAGACCTTCAACAAAGCAGCATCTAAACAAGCAAATTTCTTTAGAGGTGAGGGGCCAGGACAGTCCAGACAGCCCATGGCCCTTTCTGCCTTTTGCAGAGCCTTCTAGCTCTCTCCCAGGGCTCACCCTTTCCCTGCAGGCCTTGGCATGGAGAGGGAAGAACCCACCGGAGCCTAGAGCTGCTGAGATCCCAGGCTCCAGGGATGTTAGCTGGGCTTGGGTGGGTGCTCCAGGTCATGCCATCACACTGCGGTCACACTGCAGGGGATGGAAATGTCCCCCCGAGTCAGGCCTGGCTGGATGTGTATGAGTCACGAGGGCACAGTCTGTGGAAACCCGAGGCTGCTAGACCGTGGGAGGCAAGGTTGGCTCCTGGGCGCTGGGGATCCCCATCTCCTGCTGTTCTGCTTGACCCAGTTTATGGCTTTCCAGGGTGAGCTTCATTCATTCCCACCTCCCCAGAGAGCAGACTGGGTGTGTCATGACAATGCCTGGAGAGCCAAGGCCACAGGCCGACTGACCATCCAATCCCTTGCCTGGGCTGGCACTGCTTGGGACAAAGGGGACATCAGCCAGAGCACAATGAACCCAGCCGGAGCTCTCAGTCTTCTCTTAGGACCCCAGAGAGGTGTCTGTACCCCCCACCCCTGGCTCAGCCTCTCAGAAGGGGCTCTTCTCCACCCTGGTAGCCCTTACACTCTCCCCGTCCCAGGGGAGCTTCCCTGGGACCAGAATGCGTGGCGCCCCATGGCCAGGGGCTGTGCTCAGCACTTTATGGACATTCGCTCCTTTCACCCTCCTAGGAGTCTCTGGAGGAAGGTACATTACTGTCGTTACTCTCTTTTTGCTGATGAAGAAGCAGCACAGAGAGGCTCAGTTACTGGCCCGCTCTCTCTTGGCCACTCCCCTCTGCTGTCCTGCTTATCTCTGCTGACACGGTCACGGGTCATTGTCTGGGGAAACCACCATTGAACTTTGGACAGCAGGTCATGAGGGCCGAGAGCCCTGGGTGTCAGCTCTCCTGCGGGCCCAGCCGCAGCTCCGTCTCTGTTAAGTGGTGAGATCCTTTCCCAGCTCTCTGCAGGCTGGCTCAGAGCTCTGGGCCACCCGTAGGGTGTAGGGTGTCACCCTGGAGCACCAGGCCCCGCCCACCTGCTCTCTCTGGGCTCCTAACTGTAAAGGGGATGCGGTCAGTGTGTGTAGAGGCTTAGAACAAAGTCTGGCGAGCAGAGTGTTCAGTAAAGGTCAGCCATCGTTGTTGTTATTTGGAAGCAGAAACCGCAGAAAAGGAGCCTGAAGATACAGCCCCCATCCCCCCTTCCCTCCTTTGCTGCCTGACTTCAGGAGCCCTGGTCTAATGGAGAATCCAGAATCTCACACAGGCACACAGGCTGGCTTTTTCCATCCATGAAATGTGACACTTTTCCTGTCCCCAGTAGCCCCTGTGGATAACAAGAGGGCCTCAGAGCTGGCAGCCCTGGCTCTCCTCATGGGTGGAGACAGGGGGGGACTTAACAATCCTTGCAGGAGTTAGGGGGAGCCCTTCCCCAAGGGTGAGAAGCACCCCTTTTTCCTGGACCCCAGGGTCAGGTGGTGAGGCCTCCCCTCTTCACACCTGCCTAGTGAATCCCCCCCTTCTGCCCCAGGTCCCCTGGGCCCAGCCCCAGCGAATTCCTGCCATCCCCTGCTGGGCCTTGGCGCCAACGCCCTGCTCAGGCGGCAGCCTGCCCCTCTGCTCAGCCAGCCCTGCTAGGCTGGGCCCTTTAGTCTTCTTTGTCTTTTTTAAATCCTCGCAAGAGGACATATTTTTTACTGATTTTTAGAGAGAGAGGAAAGGGGGGAGAGAGGGAAAGAGAAACATCAATTGGTTGCCTCTTGTCTGGGGATCCAACAGGCATGTGCTCTGACCGGGAATCGAACCCGAGACATTTCGGGGTACGGCATGGTGCTCAACCAGCTGAGCCACACGCCTTTGTTCTTTTAGCCCCGGCTCCTCCTGACTTCCTGGGGCGGGAGTGGGGTGCCTTACCTGCCCCTACTGGCCTGGCCATGCCACTTGGTGGTCTGTTCACCTGGAAGTGTTAAGTCCTGGGCCCCAAGGAAGCAAGGGTCACCCAGTGGAACAATGGTGAGCGCTACAAAGTGGGGTCCTGCCTCTGAGGGAGGGAGAGAGGTCAGGAAAAATCTGAGAAGGCTTCATAGAGGTGGTGGCAGGGAAGAGGTATCACTGTCCCTGGCTCTGGGACCTGGAAGAAGGCTAGAGAAAGGGTAGAGAGAGGGAGCCCTGGCAGGAGGGAGGAGCCCAGCAAGGTGGGACTCCTGGCTGGAGGAGGGCCCCTCTGTGGAGCGAATGAGTATGTCATCGGGCCGATCAGCAAGGGCCTTGAATGCCAGAGCAAGGCATTTGCTTCTCATTTATCAGCACCAGTAACAGCTCTTAGCATGTGCCAGCATCCCAAAGAGGATTCTACAGGCCCGATCTCATGGAATTAGTTCAGAAGCCCTGGGAAGTAGGTAGTGTTATTAATCCCTATTTTACAAGGGGGGAAACTGAAGCTAGAAAGGTCGGGGACTTGCCCAGGGTCCCCTAGCTGGTAAGGAGCAGAGCTAGGTTTCTGACCAGGCAGGCCAGCTACAGAGCCTTCGCTACTCAGAGAAAGCAGCCTCACAGTGTGGCCTGGGAGGGGCTTCCCCAGGGATCCTGGAAATGCTTTCTGGGGAATTGTTTCCCATAGATTCTGTTGTAGAGGTGAAACTGCACTACAAAGCCTGGGAGAGGTCCCTTGTTAAAAAGGTAATACAGAGCCTGGCCGGTGTGGCTCAATGGTTGAGCACCAGTCCACGAACCAAGAGTCACTTGGTTCGATTTCTGGTCAGGGCACGTGCCTGGGTTGCAGGCTCAATCCCCAGCAGGAGGCAGCTTATCAATATTGATGCACCAATGTTTCTATTTCTCTCTCCCTCTCCCTTTCTCTAAAATCATAAAGAACATAGTTTAAAAAAAAGGTAATATAGCTGCTCTGGTCAACAGTCAGGATTTCAAGTCGGTTTCCATTCCTGGCTGCCTCCCACTGGTTCTCACGGTGTTGGGAAAAGCCAAGGATGAGTAATGCTCATCCAGAAAGTCTGTGGGATTGATTAGCAATGTCTGCCCTGGGTGCAGCTGTGGATAGTGGTGGCTGTCTCTGGGCTAATGTCCTGCATGGGCCTGAGAGGTCCTCCTGGCATTCAGAGTGAATCCTCCCCTCTGCCCCTATGCCCAGAGCCCCCTAGAGCCAGAGAGACTTAGTCCCACAATGCAAGATGAGGACACCTCTCCTCTGGACACTTCCTGTCGTGTTGGTCAGTTACCTGGTGGGTGGAACCCTGGAGGAGAATCGGGAGACCAGGTCTAGTCCCAGCTCTGTCACTAACCAACTGAGCGATCCTAGGCGCATCCCTTCCTACCTGGGCCCTGGGCTCTTGCCTGTAATGGAAATGGAGACACATCCTGCAGGATTTGACAAGAACAGCGACCTGCTCCTGCCTGTCACCTGTCCTCATCGTCTATTCCCACTCACCACCGCCTTCTCTGTCCGTAGACAACCTTTTAGTTCTCACGGTGGCCACGAAGGAGACCGAGGGGTTCCGGCGCTTCAAGCGGTCAGCCCAGTTCTTCAATTACAAGATCCAGGTGAGGGGCTTTGCAGGTGGGGCAGAGACAACCGAGGGGTGGAGGGAGAGTCCAGGAGCCGGGTGTCCACCCTTCCCCAACTGACTTGGGGCCACAGGGAAAGCCTCTGGAAGCCTGAAAGTTGGAGATGAAAAGTATGGACAAAGTGAGACTGGAGAGGTGTGTGGTGGTGTGCGAAGCTCACCTCGGGGGAACGTGGCTAGGTTAGAGGGCGCTGGCATTTCCACAGCTCCCCCCAGGTGATTTGGGGATGAAACACACTCTGGAGACTTTACTGTACAGACTCTGCTCTGAAGAAACACCGGTTAATGCCCAGTCAGTCGGCATCGTGGGTGTGTGTCCTGTGTGTGTGGCCCATGGGGCTGAGCCCACAGGGAGTCATTCCTCCATTTAGCTGTGTGCTGAGTGCCTCCTTGTGTCAGGCACAGTGGTAGGCACCAGGAATGATGGACGAGACAAACCATGTCACTGCCTACACAACTTGCAACCTAGCGGCATTAAGCCAGAAAGAATGTGTTAGCTCATATGAATGAGATTTGAACCAGGGGATTGCTTCAGGCATAGCTGGATCCAGGGGTTCAAGCATGGGAAAGTCTTTGTTTTTTCATTTCTAGGCCCTGTTTATTTTCATTTGCAGACATACTCTCTTTATATGGTGGCAAGATGACCACCAGCCACACACTCAGGTTCCCCAGCTTCTCAACCTCAGCAGAAAGGACAGTCTTTCCTTAATTTTAACAGAACAGTCCCAGAGAAGACCCTGATAGGCTCTGCTTGAGTCACATGCTCACACCACAGCTATGGGAGAGGGGAGGGATGCGACACTCTGATCCCCCAGGCGTGGTCACAGGACCACCTTCAGTGGGCTTTTCTCTGCAGGCGCTGGGCCTGGGGGAGGACTGGAATGGAGACAAGGTGACATCGGCCGGGGGAGGGCTGAAGGTTCGGCTGCTGAAGAAAGCCCTGGAGAAGTATGCCGACAAGGAGAACCTGGTCATTCTCTTCACAGACAGGTCAGTGCTGGGGGCTCCCTGGGCAGCCCCTCAGCAGAGAGGTAGGGGAATAGTTTAACTGAAGTCCTCCCAGGGCATGTGGGATGAGGGGGCATCGCTCTGGCTAAGGTTGCCTACAGTATTGAGGGAGGTCTCTGCAGCCCAGGAAAGACCCTCTGGTGTAGCCCATTTTCCACTCTCAGTGAAAAGATGGGCGGGGGACCCGCCCAGGTGTGACGAGCCATGCCCTGAGCCTGAGTTAGGGGAAACATCTCTGCCCTGGGTGGGGGTGGAAGCACTGCTGGCAGGGCCAGGGCCAGCAGAGCAGATCCATGCCCTAGACCGTGGGAGGAGGGGCACTGGAGAAGCCTCGATCCCAGCCTCCTAGGCCCTCACCACGCCCCTGCTCACCCCTGCCCCATCTTCTCCTGGCTCTGGCTGCAGCTATGACGTGGTGTTTGCATCGGGGCCCCGGGAGCTCCTGAAGAAGTTCCGGCAGGCCAGGAGCCAGGTGGTCTTCTCGGCGGAGGAGCTCATCTACCCGGACCGCAGGCTGGAGGCCAAGTACCCGATGGTGTCCGACGGCAAGAGGTTCCTGGGCTCCGGAGGTGAGGAGCGTGTGGCCGGGCTGGGCGGGCTCCACCCTTGCTTGGTGTCCACAGGGATGTCTCTCAGATCCCAAACACAGGATATCCTGATTCTTTAATCCTTAAACTCCCCCACCCCCCGCTGTCTTCCTCATCTCATTGACAGCCACCCACCTGCACCTGGGAGTTGCCCCCATTCCTCCCTTGCCCTCCCCCAACCATAGTCCTTTGGCGGGTCACACGACTCCCACATCAAAAGATCTGTGGCCCTGGCCAGGTAGCTCAGTTGGTTGAAGCACTGTCCCGTACATCAAAAGATTGCAAGTTCGATTCCCGGTCAAGGCCCATACCCAGGTTTCGGGTTCGACCCCTGGATGGGGTGCATACAAGAGGCAAGCGATGGATGTTTCTCTCTCACATTGATGTTTCTTTCTCCCATCCTCTCTCTCTAAAATCAATAAACATATCCTCTGGTGAGGATTTAAAAAAAGCTCTCTCAAATCCGCCCTCCAAGGTCCACACCCACTGCCACCGCCTCACTGGGCTCTTGGCCATGTGTAGCATTCTCCAGACTGCTCTGCCAGCCTCCACCCTCACCCCTTCCCGTCCATTCTCCACCCAGCAGCAGATCCATACTCATCACTGAGTGGCTTCCCACTGCAGAGGATTTTCCTTAATTTTTTCTGGATTTCTCTGGCCAGCCCCGGAAGGGGGACCTGCCCCCAGTAGCCATTTCCCCTCACTAGCACAGAGACTTGGCACAGTGCAGATACCTGGCCCTGGCGCTGGGGTGTAGGTATCCCCTGGGGTGGGGCCCTCACTGGCTGCCCACCTCCTCCCATTTCTCTTCTCCTGTCACCAATCTGCACCACAGCCGGGGACCTGTGTGGGTGTTTCCCTTTATGCCCCCATGTGCTGTGTGACCTTAGCCTAGCCTCTGCCTTCTCTCGGCCAAGCTTCCCAGATAAGTGTCAAAAAAGGGCTCCAGCTTGTGCCCACCAGCTCTGCTCTCCAGGAACTCCTGGTCTACTCCATTCATTCACCACCTGTGTGGTTCCCAGCACCTGAGCTGGTGGTGCAGCTTAGTGGGCACCATTGATCTTTCTGGGCTCAGTGCGAACTTGTCACCAAATGGTACTAACTGGCAGACCCTTTCCAGTCTATAGACATCACCTCTCCTCAATCTAGGAGGACTTCTGAGAAGAGGCAGGTCTTGTGGATAAAGGAATAGGAGATGGAGGGGAGAGGAGACTGGGAAGAGTCCCCTAGCTTAGAGGCTGGAAGCTAAGTGTCTGTCTCTGCAATCCCCAGGCTTCATCGGTTATGCCCCCAACCTCAGCAAACTGGTGGCCGAGTGGGAGGGCCAGGACAGTGACAGCGACCAGCTCTTTTACACCAAGATCTTCTTGGACCCAGAGAAGAGGGTAAGAGTCAGCAGGTGGGGCTGGGGAATCCTGGATCCCATGGGCCAGGTTGCACTGGGAGCAGCCCTTCCCAGGCCTGAATCCCTGGGTTGGCCTTGACACCCCCATTTATGCATTCATCGATTCACTCATGTATTCAGCAGATATTTATTGGGCACTCACTGTGGGAGACATTGACAGGTGCAGGGCAGGTATGTGGCAATGAACCAGAGAGCTGGGGGTCTCTGCCTTCATGGACCCTCAAGTGGGGGACAGGAATTTACAACTTCATGTCAGGTGGTGGTGGTGCTGATGAAAAGAATGACAGGCTGAGCTGCCCCTCCCCTATTCTGCCTGGGGGGGAGGTGCCTGGGGGGCTGATGAGAGCTTGATAGGCCACTGAACCTGTCTCAAGGCAGGGGTCAGGGAGGGGAGTGGAGGTAGCAGAACCAGGCCAGTGCAGCCCCAGACCCGGCCAGTAGCCTCTGGGTAGACAGGAAACTCAGGGAGCTCTTAGGGGTCAGGATTCTGGATTCTGCTTTGCTTCCTCCCCCAACCCCTATCCATGCAGTGCTGTGTGACCTAGGGTAAGCCACTTCCCCTCTCTGGGTCTCAGTTTTTATCATCATTATGATGAAATGAAGCAGTTGGGCCTGTACAGTGGAAACTATAAACAACTTTTTTGTTAACTCGGTCCTTCCTCCTTCCCCTTTGCCTCCAGTGACATCACTGTAGAAGCCCAGGGACTAAACCATAAAAATGGAGCTGCTCTACATGGGATGAGTGCAGAGCCTAGAGTGCCCCTTGCCCTTTCTTGGCCTGGCCTAGGGCTCCGTGAGACACAGTGCAGTGGAACCGGCAGCATTGTACCCGTGAACAGGGGCTTCAGGGTCAGGCTGGCTGGGTTCAAATGCCAGTCAGCTACTTAGCAGCTGTGTGACCTTGGGCAAGTTACCCAACCTCTCTGTGCCTTGTTTTTTAAATCTGTAAAATGCAATGATGGTGGAATTTTTCCGTAGGGATGTTGTGAGGATTAATGTATACATAATGCCTAGAATAGTGATTGGCACACCGTAAAGTGCTAAACAAGTGTTTGCTATTATGGTGGTGATAGTGGTTGTAGTGGAGCCAGCTATTTCCTTAGATTCCTTCCAGTTCTGAGAGCCCCTGGTTCTCTGTAAATGGAGCCACTAGGCCAGTAGATCCCAGGAGCTTGGCCACTGGCTGGCCTTCCCAGGTCTCCCAGCTGGCCTGGTGTGACTGGGCAAAGCAGATGTGGGAGAGGAAGTGGCAGAGGTGGAAGGGCAGGCTGCCCACAGTGGATATGATGGAGCCCTGTCCTGTGCCAGGGCCTGTCCCTGCTGCAGCCTGGTGCCCTCTCTCCTGCAGGATCGGATCAATATCACCCTGGACCACCGCTGCCGCATCTTCCAGAACCTGGACGGAGCCTTGGGTGAGCAGCCCCCACAGGGAAGGGTTGGAGAGAGGAAAGGAGGATTCCAGGCAGGGCCTGAGCCCAAGGGGGAGAGAGGGTTGGTTCCTCTCTGTCCATTGTACTGGGAGGTTGCCTGCTGCCCACCCCATCCCCAGGTCTCCAGAGACCACCTGGGTGTCCTGAGGCAGAGCTGTAGGTCTCTGCAGGTGGAGGAAGGAGATTCATGAGATCAGTTTACAGAACCCACCCAACACCAGGGCAGAGAGGCAGCCTCTCAGCCTGGGAGGAGCTGGGCAGAGCACACAGCAGGTACTCCTCTCCCGGATCCCTGGTCCTTATGGGTGAGCCTGCTTCACCTCCTTCCCCTGTCCTCTGCCTCCCAGCTGAAGGCTTCCTGGGCCGGGGGCAGGGATGGACCTGGCAGGGAGTTGGGAAGCGGAGGCCAGTTGGTCCTTGAAACCACAAATGCCCTTGGGCTGACCCCAGGTCCGTGGCTGGTGATGACACTGCTTTGCAACCAGCTTGCTGGGTGACTTCAGGCAAGACAAACACACACACCTTGGGCCTCAGCTTCCCCATCTTTAGAAAAGAGAAGTTGGACCAGGTCATTGATTGGTGATTTTATGGTATAAATGGACCCCTTAGAGAATCCAAGGAAAGCTATGGCTCCTCTCCCGGGAAGGTGTGGGAACATCACGCCCTTTTGCTATGGTTTCTGGGAGTTCATGAGCCTAGGTTAAGAAGCTGGGTCTAAATCACCCCTTGGGTGGGCCAGGAGCTTGCATAGAGGGGCTCCCCTCACACGGTGACCCACCACAAAGCCCTCCCTCCCCAGCACCTCTCAGGCCTTGGAAAGGGCCACTCTGGGTTTTATAACTGCTGAACAAGGCAGCTGCCTGTCTTATGTGCAGACTAACAGGGTCCTAGCATGGGGATTAGGACGCTGCCACCAGAACTCTCTCCACCAGGATAGGACCTGTCCCCATTCCTCCCAGACTCCCTGTGTCGCTGGCATGTACTCAGCGCTGCTCTGCGTGTCTGTCGGAGTGGGCGCCTCCCAGACCCTGTTAGTGGCTCTTCTCTGAGTTGTGTCTGGAGTTGGGATACCCAGGTCTTCTTCATTTCTCCCTTCCCCGGCTTTTAGCTCTAGTAAGTAATCACAGTAACTAATGTGGGTTGCTGTGGATTCCGTGCTCACCCGGAGCCAGGCATGGTGCTAAGTGCTTGCCGGATATGGAATCCTCTCACTCTTATCCCCATTTTACGGATGAGGAAACTGAGGCTCAGAGAGGTGAAGTGACTAGCCCAAGGGCACACCCTGCTCACTGGCAGAGAGCTGGGACTCAAGCCCAGCCCGTCAGCCCCTGAGCTTGGTCTCTGGGTCTCATACTGGATGGTGTTGTCATTTCTCACCCCTAGATGAGGTTGTGCTGAAGTTTGAAATGAGCCATGTTCGAGCTCGGAACCTGGCCTATGACACACTCCCAGTCCTGATCCATGGCAACGGGCCTACCAAGGTAGGGAGGAGCCCCCGGCCCCTGGGGAGAGTGGGAGAGGGTCAGCTTCTCCTTGGGTCCAGGGCCGCCCACCTAGGCCCCGAGAGCCCACGGGCACTGACTTTAAATCTGAGTTCAATGTGGAGCCTCTTTCCTACTATGGTGGTGGGTGAGGCCCTGCTCATCCTGCTGGACCACAGGACACAAAGGAAGCCACTGTCCCCATCCAGCCCTGGGCCCGGCTGCCCCAAATCATCCACACTTGATGACCCCAGGGCAGACTCATTTGTTCATTTAAGCAACATTTATTGAATGTTTGTACCAGGGCATGAGACCTAGTCAGCCATGAGCAGGACAGACTGGTCCCCATGCTCCTGGCACTACAGACAAGCCCCTGGGGAACTGGTCCCTGGGGAACCAGCCTCTGGTTCACAACCCGTTTCTCTGAGGGAGGTCCTCAACCATCCCAATCAGCATCACATGGAAGGGAGAGGAAGGGGAGTATGTTAAAAACCCAGATTTTCCAACCCCACCCAAAAGCTGCCAGTGGGAATCTCGGAGGGGCATGGCCCGGGAATCTGCATTTTACAAGCTCTCAGCCCATTCAAAGATGGAAAAGCACCAGAGCACCAAGCCCTCCCTCTGTCCTCCTGTAGCTGTGGTGACCTCTGGGGGGGGTGTGTGACCAAGCTCTTCTAGGCACCCCCAAAGTAAAGCCCGTCGGGTGTGGCAGATGGCTGGGGTGCGGACCCACCAGGGGCGCAGGGAGATGGGCCTCAGTGGCCACAGGTGGGTGGGACTGGCTCCTCTCAGACCCTTCGTACCCCACAGCTGCAGCTGAACTACCTGGGCAACTACATCCCGCGCTTCTGGACCTTTGAGACTGGCTGCGTCGTGTGTGACGAGGGCCTGCGGAGCCTCAAGGGCATTGGGGTAAGGCTGTCAGGACCTGGGGTGGGGGAGGATGGGTGACTCTGGAAGAGACTGTTGTCTTTGGTGGAAGGTGAAGGGATCATCTCCCTGTCTGGGGTTCCATCTTCCTCCTTAGCCAGGCACCTCCTCCTGGAAGCCTTCTCAGACTACACATGGCTCCAGCTTCCCCCAGATGCCTAAGTTCCAGTTTATTCTGCCTGGTCCTTCAGGCTCTCCTGCAGCCCCCTCCCCATCCCACGAACCTTATTCCTCATGTACGGCCCCACTTCAATCCCCATGCCAACCAAACTCTCCCAACAGCGTGCCATCAACTGGTCCTCGCTCCAAGTCATGGCTCTTGGTCCCCAGCAGGGGCTTCCTCCTGCCCTCCTGCCTCTGCCCAGCTGCACATCTGCTCGGAGCTCCCCGGCCCAGGCCCCTTTCCTGCTAGGGCCACGTGCCTCTGGCTCCGGATCCCACAGGCCACCCAAGGGGCTGGACACTGCTGGACTCTGCTGTCCCCTCCCCATGCAGGATGAAGCTCTGCCCGTAGTCCTGGTTGGCGTGTTCATCGAACAGCCCACGCCGTTCCTGTCCCTGTTCTTCCAGCGGCTGCTGCGCCTCCACTACCCCCAGAAGCGGATGCGGCTCTTCATTCACAACCACGTGAGGAGCAGGGGCTCGGGGTTGCTAGGTGGCTTGGGTCAAGGGCCCGGCCTCACAGGGTGTCCTGAAACCTCTGAGGAACTGACCGAAGCGGGCTTATCTGGGCCGAATGGCAGTGAGCAGAGGGCTGTATCCCCAAATTACTGGGATGACTCTGGAGTGAGACCGGCCGGGTCTGAATGCCAGCACCACTGCCTGCAGTGGCTGGCTGACCCTGGCATGCTGTTTAGCCTCTCTGTGCTTTCGTTTTCTTGTCTCTTAGAGATAATAACTGTGCTGCAAGGGTTAGCCAAGTTGACATGTGAAGCACATAGAAGAGTGCCTGGCTCACAGGCAGCACATAGTAGGTGCTCGTAGCTGTTGTCATGGTCACCGATTCCCTCCCAGCCCCAATCAGTCCTTCCTAATTCGATCTGATGATAGTCAAACTTGTTTTCATTCCTTCAGTATCTTCCAGGGAATCGGGAGGGCCCCGGAGGCTTGCTGCTTTCTGGGGAGCAGCCCTGGCATCCGCATTCCTGGTTCCCTCCGTTTCAGGCCTCCCCTTCCTGCCTGGATAAAGTCCCAGCTCTCAGTCTTTGCTTCTCCCACTGTCCCTACCTGGGAGCCCAGATATACTGTTTCAAGTCCTGCCTGCTCTCCAGGCTCCTGTCTTCCTTAAAGTCTCTCAGCTGCCCCATCTAGGGTCACTCCCTTCTGAGACTTCTCGGCCCTGACAGCCTGCACCCCACCCCCAGGGACCTGGGGCCCCACACTCGGCTGAGCTCTCCGCCTGCGTCACACACATTCACTCAGCTGTGCCACATGGAGACAGAAGGATGTAGGCCCTGCCCTTGGGAGGCCCCCAGCTTCCCTGGAGACATCAAACAGCATACCCGTGAACTGTGACTTTGAGTAGAAAAAGAGAAATGTCACAGGCAGCATTTGAGGACCTACTGTGTGCTCCATCTGACTTGTCGACTCCTTACAGTGGCCCTGTGAGGCAGGCATGATCGCCTTCCCTTTTTACAGGGGAGGAAACTCAAGCTGAGACAGGGGAAGTGACGTGTCTGAGGCCACACAGCTGACTGTAGCAGGGCCAGGCGTGCCTCTAAACCCTGGGTTCGGTTTTAAAGATCCTGCTCTCTCTGCTTCCCCATGCAGGGGGCCCTGGGTGTGGGCTTTTGCTCTTCAAAGCGAGGTGCGAGCATCATCATCTGGAGCGTATTGTAGTAAAGCAGATTGTGGGCTCCACCCCAGACCAACAGAATCAGTGGCTCTGGATGTGGGGCCTGTGGGTTGGGGGTGCTGTCCTGGGGACAGAGGCTCCTAAGAGGCCTGTGGGCCTGGCCTGGTTAGGGGAGGGTGGTCAGAGGGTGGCCAGAGAAGTGCACTCCAGGCAGAAGGTCTGGCATGGCAAAGATGTGGATTTAGGGAAGCAGGTGGCCAGGGATGTGCCAGGAATGAAGGGGAGCAGCCCCCAGTAGCAAAGGTGCTGTGGTCGCTGGGTGGGATCTGTGCCCTCATCTTCACCGCCCCCTCCAGGAACAACACCACAAGGCTCAGGCGGAGCGCTTCGTGGCGGAGCATGGTGCCGAGTACCAGTCTGTGAAGCTGGTGGGCCCCGAGGCGCGCGTGGCGAACGCTGATGCCAGGAACATGGGCGCGTGAGTTGGGGGTCTGCGGGACCGTGGTTATCTCTGCTGACAGTAGTGGGCAGAGGGGCCATGGTGTCAGGGGCACCAGATTGGGAGATAGGCGTTCAGAAGGCTGTGTGGTCTCGGGCAGGTTCCTGCCCCTCTCTGGGCCTCAGGGTTTCCATCTGTCAAATGGGGAACTATCCTGTGTCCTGCGATTGGCTGGGGCTGAGCAGCGTCCTTAGCGTTTAGGAAGCAAATAAGAGAAAGAGAAAGGACTGAAGGGCCAGGAGTTGATAAATGCTGACAATCTCTGATTTCCCCTTTATTATTAAAACAAACAAGTACTTTGCTGACTATAGAAGAATTAGACTGTCCAGATCCGTGGCTGGCAGCCTTCCTATAAAGGACTAGATTGTGAATCTGTGCAAACCAGCTTCGTGGGCTCAGCCACCGCCACTCAACTCTGCTGGGGCAGTGTGAGCGAGCGTGGCTGGGCTCCCAACAAAATTTATTTATAGACACTGAAGTTTGAATTTCATATGATTCTCATGCAACTAATTTTGACTCTTTCCCCCAACCAGTTAAAAATGTAAAACCATTCTTAGCTCACGAGCCACACGAAACCAGGCAGTGGGCTGGCTTTGGACCATGGATCATACTTTACTGAGCCCTGAACCAGATGAACAAAGGAACAGAACAAGTTACCAAACGCCCTATGGGGGGGCAGAACCAGTTTACCCCCCCGACCCCAGGCAGTGTAGGGGCCTGTCTGTGGGCCTCGCCTTCCCAGTGCCAGGCTTTTCAGGGCGCTTGATACCAGTTGTCAAGCTCTAGGCCTTCATCTTGAGAGTTTGGGATCTGCGTCTGGGTTTGGGTCTTGCAATCAGGTGGGACCTTCGAGGCTGCTGGTCCTAACCTGCCCCAGGGCTGACCCAACCTCTCTAAAGAGCCTTGGCCGGTACCCAGTGATCACAGTGTGGGCTGGGGTGGAGAGTGCAGCTGCAGGGTGGCTCCGAGACCCTGGGTGGGGAGGCTGGCACTGGAGCCCCAACCCCACTGACCCTGCACCCCCCTGCCTGCAGGGACTTGTGCCGGCAGGACCATGGCTGCACCTACTACTTCAGCGTGGATGCCGACGTGGCCTTGACGGAGCCCAAAATCCTGCGCCTGCTGATTGAGCAGAACAAGTGAGGCTGGGGGTGGGCCCTCAGAGCGGGGCTCCTGGCCCAGCACTGCTCCCGATAGGCCCAGGCCCGGACTGGGAGCCCTCGCCTGCCTTGGCCTCACCTACCACCCTGGGCTTGCCGCAGCCTGGAAACTTGTCTTGGTCCCAGATGGTCCCCCTCCCTGCCACGCCCTAAGCTACCCCACCCCCACCCCGCCCTCTGTTCCTGGCTGCCCTGTAGGAAAGAGCAGGTGTCAGATGGGCCAGACCCCCCTCCATGCCCTGCCCCAGGGAGGTGCTTGCAGGTTGAAACAACCCCCCCACACCCTCCCTCACACCTAGTTCGATCTGCCCCACACTCCCAGTGGGCAGAGGGACCCCTCTGAGGTGCTGCCTTCCTTAGGAACGTCATCGCCCCATTGATGACCCGCCACGGGAGGCTGTGGTCGAACTTCTGGGGGGCACTGAGCGCAGATGGCTACTACGCCCGCTCCGAGGACTATGTGGACATTGTGCAGGGGCGGCGTGTGTGAGTATCTGCGGGCTGGGGGCTCCCTCACCTGTCTTCCTCCTGGCCTTGCAGCAGTGCCTTCCCCAGTATTCTTGTCCTTGTTGCCCTCGAATTCCCACTGAACCTGAAGCGAGGAAGCCTGCAGTTAGACACACAGAAAGACTTCCCCACAATTATCCTGGGCCCATTGCCCAGGGTGGGGGAATCAAATCAGCACTATTCTGCCCTTCCCCTTGGCCACTGGCCCTTAGTCTCTGACCCTCACCACCGGCCTGTGGTCCCCTCTCCCTCAGTGGCGTCTGGAACGTGCCCTACATCTCGAACATCTACCTGATCAAGGGCAGTGCCCTGCGGGCTGAGCTGCAGCAGACAGACCTGTTCCACCACAGCAAGCTGGACCCCGACATGTCCTTCTGCGCCAACATCCGGCAGCAGGTCAGCCTCGCGGGGCGGTCCGAAGAGGCCCTGTTGACAGGGAAGGTGGGCTGCCATGTCACCGTGGGCCCTGGAGCTCCTGAGCTTCCAGCAGGGCTGCTCAAAGGCTGCCAGGGCCTGGTGGGGGCACTTGGGGCACTGGCATGCAGGCTGGTCCTCAGGGTCTGTGGGAATCATTTTAGCAGACTGGTTTTCACATCTATTTTATTTATATTTCTGACAGCACCTAAAGAAAACGAAACTTTCCACCTAAATGTACTCTAAGTAATGTGCCCAAGAGACACCTGTGCCTCACCCAATATTTTTTTGTGGCTATTTTTATTTTTATTTTATTTTTTTAAAATATATCTTTATTGATTTCAGAGAGAGGAAAGGAGGGGGAGAGAGAGAGATAGAAACATCAATGATGAGAAAGTCATTGATCGAGCCTGCAACCCAGGCATGTGCCCTGACCAGGAATCGAACCCCGATCACATGGATCCTAGGTCGACGCTCAACCACTGAGCCAAGCCCAGCCGGGCTGTGGCTATTTTTAAAAATGTGACAGCATGTTGATGTTTCCCCTGTGCCCCAAACATCAGGATCAGAACACCATCCTTTGTGCACGTTTCTTTCAGTCCCATTCAGTCCTCCAGGAAGCCTTCCCTGATCGCATCCCCAGTGTCAGGTCTAGGCTGGGTGCCGGGGACTTCGGGTGACCCGTAATTGGTTCCCTGATCTTAGAACTGGAACGTGGGGGGCAGAGGAGGCTGCTGTCGTGCCCCTCCGCTGGGCGTGCAGGGGAGGCGGGGGAAGGTCTCTCATCCGGCCTGCTCTCCCCAGGATGTGTTCATGTTCTTGACCAACCGGCACACCTTTGGCCACCTGCTCTCCCTGGACAACTACCAGACCACCCACCTCCACAATGACCTCTGGGAGGTGTTCAGCAACCCTGAGGTGAGGCCCTGGGTGGGTGGACAGGGGTGGGAGTGGAAGGGGCCCGCAGTGATCCTGTAGCCTGTGGGGCTGGATGTAAGGAGAGGAGGGTGTTTTGAGTGGCAGTGCCATCTAGTGGAGGAGGGACTAGGAGTCAGACCCATCAGCTGTGGCTTAGTTGAGCCTCTCTACCCTTGGGGCCTCAGTTATCTTAGCTCTAAAATGGGTATACTGTCCCAGCCTGGCTTGCCCCTGAGAGTGTGATGCTCAGAAAGTTGTGACAATATTCCCAGACACTGTGAGCTTGTGGCTGATGTGGGCACAGGCCTATACCTGCATGCATGCACACGTGTAGACATGTGCAAACACCTGCTCCTGTGGGCACACTTTTGCGCTCAAACACAGTGCACCCAGCGGGCACAGGCGCAACCCAACCCAGCTCCCCCAGGCACACACACATTCGCTTGCATTGTGTGTGGCCTGGGCGGAGGAACCATCCCATGGAGTTGAGCAAGGGGTGAGTCCCAGCTGGCCCAGGCCAGGCCTGAGGATCCCAGCTCGCTCTCCCCTCCCATGGAGTTGAGAAAGGGGTGAGTCCCAGCTGGCCCAGGCCAGGCCTGAGGATCCCAGCTCGCTCTCCCCTCCCCACAGGACTGGAAGGAGAAGTACATCCACGAGAACTACACCAAGGCACTGGCGGGGAAGCTGGTGGAGATGGTGAGGCCGGGGCACGTCCTGGGAACAGAGCTGCTGGCTTATACCTGACCCTTGCTGCTGGGATGGAGGGCGGAGGAATGAAACTAGCTGACCTGGGGGAGGAGGGGAGGCACCTTTCTGTGCCCTGGCAGAGTGGACAGCGGGTGGCCCCTTCCTGCTTCTGGCACTTTCCAGCTGGAGTCTGCAGGGCCTTGGGGACCTTAGGCTTCTTCCCTGGGCCAGGCAGGAAAGGGAAGAAAAATATACCCAAATGTGGTCTCAACTGCAGACCATGGCCCATCGGCCAGGAGTCAGAAGCAGGTGCGCCTCTGTTTCCCCCAGAGCCGGCCGGCCTCTGCTCCCCTGATTCCAACACACGGGTAGCTCTGTGACCTTGGCCAGCTCTGAGTTCTGCTTCCTTCTTCCTTCAGCATTTCACTGAGTCCCGGCTCCCTGGGGACCCTATGGGGACACTCAGAGGCTCTCAGACTGGGGTGGGGCAGGGCATTGACCACACAAGGGGTCTTGCCTGCGGTGGGTTCTGCAGAGCGCCATGGTTCAGGGGTGAGGGTGGGGTGGTGCCCCTCTGGACCCCTGTGACCGAATCCTCGCCCTCCCCAGCCTTGCCCGGACGTCTATTGGTTCCCCATCTTCACGGAGACGGCCTGTGACGAGCTGGTGGAGGAGATGGAGCATTACGGCCAGTGGTCTCTGGGAGATAACAAGGTGGGAAACCCAGGCGCCTGGACTGGGGCTGCTGGGAGGCTGCCCCTCCACCCACGCCTGCCCCCTGGGCTTTTTTCCTAGCACGCTCGCCAACCTTTCTGGGACTCTTAGATGGGGGCGCTGGAGAGGGTACCTGCAGGCGCTTAGGAGTAGGGGGATCGAGAAACGGGGTGGAGTGCTGGTCCCCAAGCTGCCATTGCCGCTGGGTGACTGAGCTGCCTGAGCCTTGGGTGCGAGGTTTCCAGGTTCTGCTTTGTTATTAGAGCGACGGAGCCCCCTCCCCAGGCTGGGCTGGGGACGGGTGAGGGATGAGCGGTATGGATGAGGGAGGAATTAGGAAGCGGCGTCACCAGACAGCAGAAGCAAGGGGCGCTCTGCTCAAGGAGGAATCCCAGGCCTGCCCGCATCTCGCAAAGTCCAGGAACCCTTTTTAAAGGCCGTGAGCCCCTGGGCCTGTGTCTCGGAGACTGGCTAGCTTTGACCTGGCAGCTGACTAACCCATGGTTCTGGTTACCTGCCTAATCATGTGCTTTGGAGGCAGAGTTAATCTCCAGAACCCAGTAACTGGCATGGCCCGTGCATTCTGGGGTCTGGCTCACCCATAGGCTGCAGTGACCGGGCTGCCGTGGGACTCTCGTGCCTGAATTAACCCTGGCTCTCTGCATGGGTTTTCTATGCTGTATAAAAAGTTACCATCAAGCTTAATGGCTTAAACACCCGTTTATTATCTGTCTTCGGGTTTCTGTGGGTTGGGACTCTGGGTGTGGTTTAGTTAGGTGCTCTGCCCAGGGGAGCCAGGGCTGCCATCAAGGTGTCAGCCGGTTGGTGCTCATCCGAGGCTCAGGGTCCTAGTCCAAGCTCACAGGGCAGAATTCCTTTCCTTGCAGCTCTGGAACTGACCATGACTTGCCTCTTCCGGGCCAGCAGGAAGATTCTCTCTTTCCAAGGTCCTCCTTTAAAGGGCTCACCCAGCATGTCTCCCTTTGATTAAACCAAGGTCGACCGATTAGTCACCTTAATTACACCTGCAAAACCCCTTCATCTTTGCCCTGTAACCTAACCTTATCCCATCAGGTTCAAGGTCAGGGGAAGGAGATTAGACAGGTAGCTAGAATCGGGGTGTCATAGAATTCTGCTTACTTCCCTCTCTGGGTCCCTTCCAGGACAACCGCATCCAGGGCGGCTACGAAAACGTGCCGACCATCGACATCCACATGAACCAGATCAACTTTGAGCGGGAGTGGCACAAGTTCCTGGTGGAGTACATCGCCCCCATCACCGAGAAGCTCTACCCCGGCTACTATACCAGGGTGGGTAGGCCTGGATGCAGTGGGGACCAAGGCCGGGGTGGAGTGGGAGGGGAGGGGGCGAAAGGAGGGGAGAGAAGCATTCCCAGCTTGGGCAGAGGACTGAATGTTTGGTCTCCAGGCCGGAGCCAAGTCTCCCATCAGGTGTTGGGGCCAGAGAACGTGGGGCCACTCTGCCTCTGGTCTCTGATATCACCTGACCATTTGTGTCCTTACTCTGTGTCCTTAAGAACTGCATCCACCAATGGCTGCGATGCCAGCTCACCAGACAGGCCCCCAGTCAGTGGTCAGCTTGCCCTCTTCCCTCGGTTTCCCTTTAGCCCGCTCACTCATGAATCCCTTGACTGCCTCTTTGGCTTTGGTGCTTCCCTCCCTCCATCACTTCCTCGTTGCCATGGTTTTCTCCAAATACATGCTTCGGGTGTGCCTGGGCCCTGCCTTCCAGGGATCACCAGCCTAGAGAGTTGCCAGAAAGGGATGTGAGGATTAGATTCCTTCATCCCACCTGTCCCTCCCTCCTCTCCTTCCCTTTCCTTCCCTTCCTCCCATTTTTTTAAAAATAGCTTTTTTTTTTTTAATTGATTTCAGAGAGAGGAAGGGAGAGGGAGAGAGAGATAGAAGCATTGATGAGAGAGAGTCATTGATCCACTGCCTCCTGCACGCCCCCTGCCCAGGATCGGAGCCCGCAACTCGGGCCTGTGCCCTGACCGGGAATTGAACCGGCAACCTCATGGTGCATTCCCCAGCCGACTCTCAACCAACTGAGCCACGTGGGCCAGGCTCCTCCCCACATTTTTATTGAGAACGTTTTCTGTGCCAGGCAGTAAAGAACACAGTGTTCAATAAACCCGCCCCCGGGGAGCCGACTCTCCAGCAGACTGGATGAGGGGCCCTTCTGCACACCCCTGGCTTTCCCGGCCTTCGCAGAGCCTCTGACTCGGTTCTCTGTGTCACTTCCTTGGTGCAGGCCCAGTTCGACCTGGCCTTTGTTGTCCGCTACAAGCCCGACGAGCAGCCCTCGCTGATGCCACACCACGACGCCTCCACCTTCACCATCAACATTGCCCTGAACAGGGTCGGAGTGGATTATGAGGTGAGCAGGGGCCGCCCCGGCCCAGGGGGCAGGCAGGAGGGAGGGCTGGCTGGTGGGCAGCTTGCAGGGCGTTTGAAGCTAAGGGGCCCCGGATGCACCAGCACCAGAGGACTAGAGAGCCAGAGAGAAAGGGCGCCAGGTCCCTGGGGAAGGCTTCCTGGGAGGGGTGGGCTCAGAGAACAGTTTGGCAGGAGGGAGAGGGCTTTAGACACGCTAGAGCGAGGGCCCAGGAGGAAAACTTGGGTGCCCTCCACACAGTTGTGAGGATGACATGAGCTCATCCTGAGAACTCTCCCGTGGACCCATAGTAAGTACTCAGGAATGATAGCTGTTAGTAACGAGGAGTTCAGGAAGAGGGCGGCTTTGGGAATGACTAAACCCAGGCTAGCCTGGGTATGGGGCACAGGCTTGTGCCTGGAAGGGAAATCTGGGGAAACCAGGAAGACGTGAGGGCGAGGAGGGAGCAGTTCTGGGGCCCCAGGACCCCAAGGGAGGCCTCCGGGTGTGATCAGCTTTGGAGCCATTCATCCGTCCATTCATTCCATAAGCTATTTTTAAGGAGTTTTTTGGGACTTAGTCCTAGGTTAGGCACTGTGAAGGACACCCGTAAAAAGACCTATGTTTTTTTGAGAATTGACAATGTACCAGGGGTTCTCATAGGGGAGGATTTTCCCCCCCTCCCCACCCAGAGGACATTGGCAATATCTGAAGACATTTTCGGTTGTCACAACTATGGGGGTGCTGCTGGCATTTAGTGGGTAGAGGCCAGGGATGCCCAGACAGCCCCCATAAGAAAGAATTATCTGGCCCATAGTGGTGATGCTGTATAACAGTATGAATATACCTAATACCACTGAACTGTTCATGTTACATGTTTTACTGCAATTAAAAAAAAAAAAAAAGAACTGTCCAGCTCAAAATGTCCATAGTGCTGAGGTTGAGAAACCCAGCCCTAAACTCTTACTTGTATCATCTCATTGAATTCTCACAACCCTGTGCAGTTTAACGCTCATTTTCCAGAAGGGGAAACTGAGGCTCAGGTTGGTCACTAAGCTGGTAAAGGGTGTGCCCAACATCTGCCCGGAGCTGCCTGACCTTGATCACTTGCCTTGCCCAGTGACTTCCTTAGGCAGCGCATGGCTGTCACTCCACAGGGCATCCCAGGCAGGCTGTGCGGAGGGCGCCTGGCCGTGGGGGCTCAGATGGGAGAGGGGAGCGGTGGGGGAAGGGCCCAGCTTCCTGCTGGGAAACTGACACCTCATGTCTCCCAGGGCGGGGGCTGTCGGTTCCTGCGCTACAACTGCTCCATCCGAGCCCCACGGAAGGGCTGGACCCTCATGCACCCCGGGAGACTCACACACTACCACGAGGGGCTCCCCACCACCAAGGGCACCCGCTACATCGCTGTCTCCTTCGTCGATCCCTAAGTGGCCAGGCCCGGCCACCTCGGACTTTTCCTCTCTGCCAACAACCACTGCCCAGCAGCCTCTGGGGCCTCGGGGTCCCAGGGAACCCGGTCACGGTCTCCAGGGTCTTGACCTCCCGCTGTTCTTGGAGCTGCCATCAGAGAGACTGGGCCGCAGGCCGAGGCGAGGACACCTCCTTGGCTCTGGCTTTCCTGGTGCTCTGGGCCCAGCCCCAGGCTGCTTGTTCACTTTCACTGTGTTGTACCAACTCAACTTTTCTACTTGTCTTCCTGACAAACCCAGCCCCCCCATCCTCTGATTCTTCCGTCTGTGACACTTGAGCAGAAGAGAGACTCTAGGGGCAGGTGCCACCCCGGGCTCCTCCCAGGCAGAGCTGAGCCCCAGGGCCTTCCGCTTCAAGCTTCCGGTAGATGCAAGACCTGGGTCAGACTCAGGTCCTCACCCTGACCCTGGGACTGTGGAAGCCCCCCCTTTCCTGGCTCCTGTCATGGAGCAACACATTGTCCCCGGAGATGGTGACTCAGCAGACTTCCTGGAACACAGGAAAGGCATGGAGGCCACAGCGCCATCCTCTACTTGATCCTTGCTGGGGAGAAAGGAGTGATATGTCCACACACTGCACTGCGTCACCCTGTCCCGGATGTCGCTGGAGGGAGGGACAGGCAGAGGCAGGAGAGTTTCTATTAAAAGTCATTCAAACCACTGAGTGGGAGATGCCTGGGTGGCTGAGTGCATGCGTGCCAGGGCGGGGGTCTGCAGGGAGAGGTGTTAAGAGCCCATGATTGGCAAGAAAGGCCGTCAGGACACTGAGGGTGTGTTTCCCAAACAAGCCTGGATCTTGGTGTTATTTGTATGTTCTGTAAACCCATACGCGAGAGCCGGCACAGGCTACCTGGGGCACGCTGCTCCATCTGTCAAGATCTGCACTGGGTGTCACCTCCCCTCTGAAGGCTTCGCTGACTGCCTTTCCTGCAAACACGAACCTCAGAGAACAGAGAACTTCCAAACTGCTGGTGGCCCCGCCACACCCTGGAAGACTCTTCTTGTGGCACTGACAACTCGGGGCATTTATTAATAGCAAAAGCCAGCATCTGTCCATCCCTTGCTATGGGCTGGGCACTAGGCACACAGCCCTCTAGGATACAGCTGTTATTTCCTTTTTATAGATGAGGAAATGTAGGCTCAGAGAGGCCAAGTAACTGGCCTAAGGTCACACAGGTAAGTGGTAGGGACAGGGATTTGATTATGATTTCAGCCAGAATCTGGTCCCTGCCCTCAGGCACCCTGCAGTAAGCAGGCAGGACAGAAAGAACCAAATGCACTTAGTTCACTGTGGACCAGTGTGATAAGTGCCACATGGCTGTCAGAACTGCTGCGGGGAACAGGACATACTGGTGGCTTGTGTTAACACAGTGCTTCTCAATTACAGGTGATTTTGCCCCCAGGGGACATTTGGAAATGTCTGAAGGCATTTTTGGAAGGGGCGAGAAATGCTACTACACTAGTGAGTAGAGGCCAGGGATGCTTCTAAACATCCTACAGTACACAGGGCAGCTCCTCCCTCCAACCAAGAATTACCCAGGCCAGAATCTGAGTAGTGTTGAGACAGAAGCCTGGCAGAAGTTGCTCTTTGAGCAGGCCCTGCACGGGAGGAGGTTTCCAATAGGCGGGGAGACTCCCCAGGTCAGGCGCTGGAGCCAGCCAGGCAGGGACAGGTAGGGTCAGAGAATGCAGGGTGGCTGGTATGGGCGGGGTGGAAGGGTCAGACTCAGAGCCCATTTTCCCAGGCTAACGAGAGGTGGGCTTTACGATTTAATTGGAGTCATTTGGAGCTTTTGCATATGCCTTCTAAAGATGTTTTTTTTTTTTAAATTGGCCCATGGTAAATTCATACAGCACAAATCTTGCCCTGGCCGGTGTGGCTAAGTGGTTAGAGTGTCAGCCTAACTTAGGGTCTTGGGTTCAACTCCCGGTCAAGGGCACGTACCTGGGTTGCAGGTTCCATCCCCGCCCCAGTCAGGGCACATGCGGGAGGCAACCAATCGACGTGTCTCTCACATCCATGTTTCTCCCTCCCTCTCTGCCCCTTCCACTCTTTGAAAAGCAATGG